AAAAAATTTTCTATTTTTCGTTATTCTCATGTAATATTTTTTTTTAATACAAAATATATTATAGAACAAAAATTGTAACCGTATTTAATAAGTAAAGTTAAATATATATGTAAGCATTAGTCTCTATACAAAAAAAATATGAGTAACTTGTAAACATTAAATGTAATTTTAAAATTAACCAGAACTAACTTTAAATAATGCCAGCACTGACTGTTAATTGTAAATTTATGTGAATAAAATTCATGAATTATAAAATTATATGAATTAAACTCAACTAAGAATAATCAACTTAAACCGTTGATTATTCTTTGTTAAAAAGGGAGGTGTAGTGTGTTTGATTCATCCATGTTGCCATACCTTCCGTATGACAACGTATCATACTGGTTTACATATTTGTCCAAGTTGGCATACCTTCTGTATCCAACTAATAGTATGCTTTTACTCAAGTTACAATACATTCAGTATGTAACTTTACACCCTCACTTTATTGAGGTATGTTGTCCGCACTGCTCCGAGATAGTAAGCGTGCATTATGCTTACTAAGCGTTTTCCCACGCTCACTTTATTCTTCATTTACCTTAAGTTAATTTTTGTAAGATAATATTATTTAAGTTCTAATTTGAATAAAGTAAGGGGAAGTCGCATTTTGCGGCTTCCCCAACAAAACCAAAAGAGTTTTCATTTCACACCCTTCAGAATATTTTCGGGATAATATTTGGCATTTATTCTGATGCCACGGCCTATTAATACAAGCGGAGAGTGACCTTCGACTGTTATAGTGGCCCACACCATCACCCTGGCCGGCGCTTGAGTTCTGGTGGCCAATCGAAAGTGCACATTTTCTGCTGACGTCTTTGGCAAGTAACTACAATTTGATTTTGTTTGTTTGCAAACTGCTGGACATCGAATGTTTTCTCATCGGAGAAAACCAAATTCGGCAGTTCACCACTTTCGGCCAAGCGAAGCAACTCAATCGCTCTTTATACCCTACAACACTATGTGTTGGGGGTATTATAAGTTTGATTGGGCCAAAAATTATGTAACACCTCGAAATATTGGTTTACCGCATAGGAAAGTAAATATGGATCTTTCTATCTCGCCGAGCTGAGTCGATCTAGCTACGTACGTCCGTCTGTTCATGTTAAATTAAATTTTGCACGGAAGTGTGGTTATGGTCAGAATAGAAGCCTATTGCTTTTGGAGATGATCGCATAATATTTAGGGGTTGAAATGGACCAAAAGCTGAAAAATTTCCTGATTTTGCAGTTGCTCTACAGGTCACAATTGTAGACCAATCGACGCGGAAGTTTGCATGGGTCCATGGCTAGAGCTTAGGGCTAAGAAGAAGCCTTACAATTTGGATGGTCATCAGGTAATATTTAGTAGGTGAAATAGACCGCAAAATTTGTGTTAAATAAAAGTCAAATGTTCCATTAAACCGCGAATATTTTTAATCACGGCAAAATGACAAATAGACGAAAAGGTCAATTCTGACCTTACGTAGATGCCGATAGTAAATATATCGGTTACATATTGCGAAATATATACAATGTGTAAATATAAAGGAAAGGGATGTTACCTAGAACGCTTATATCTTAAGAATGGCTGCATCGATATTGACAAATGTTGTCAATTCAGAATGCCCTCTTTGCAAAGAAGAATAGAATCTAAAAAAATTGTATAAAAATGCCAATAATGAAGGTCATATAGATGTTGTAGTATTTTGTGATATTTTTTATTTTTCATATTTTTTATCCCATGCGATTTTTTCACTTTTACTTAAAATATTGAAGTGTATATTCAGTAATATTTTTTCACTCAGGTTGTGGTTATTATATACAGATTGCTAGATCCTCACGAAAATGTTCAAAAGGGTAGGGTTAGGCTCCGAAGGGTCCATATACTTTTTTAAACTACTTTTAGACATAAAGATTGCAAGAAGTAGGCGTTGGCAGTTCCTCTGACCCCAGGGAGACTCAACAGTACCGCGTATACTTTCAATCAGAGTCTTCATTATTTTGTCAAATATAAGAATTTCAAGTAAATCGCAAAAAGGGGCATAGAAGTGGGACAACTCCCATTTTTTTCTTAGTATAAAAACTTAAATCGGTGTATGACAAATATTTGTACAAAAAAATACAAATCGGTCCAGCCGTTTTCAAATGAAGGGTGAGATTAAAAAACTGCAACCAACTTCAGACTTTTATTCGTGGTAAAATTCAGGCGTGATAGTGTGATTTCTTTATATTTAGCTGGAAAACAACAAGTGAAAAAATCTTTTGTGTCTCGTACCATCGCTCGTTACCGTTATACTGGTAGCGTAGCCCGACGTCAAGGAAGTGGACGGGAGAAAACAGCAACATCAGCAGAAATGGTTCCAAAAGTAAAGAAGCGACTTGATCGAAACCTGCGACGCAGTGGCCGAAAAATGGCTCGTGAGCTGAACATATCGCAATATCCCATTCGACAAATATTGAAAAAATGAGCCATTGTAATTTCAAAAAGTGCAAGAACTAACACAGCAACAGAAAGAAAATAGATTCAAAGGAGCTAAAGAGTTGCTTCGCTTGGCCGAAAGTGATGAACTGCTGAATTTGGTTTTCCCCGATGAGAAAACATTCGTTGTCAAGCAGTTTGTAAACAAACAGAATGGTCATATTTACTTGCCAAAGAGGTCAGCTGAAAATATGCACCTTTGGTTGGCCACCAGAACTCAAGCGCCGGCCATGGTGATGGCGTGAGCCGCCATAACAGCCGCTCTTATTAATCGACCGTGGCATCAGAATAAATGCCGAATATTATAGCGAAAATATTCTTGAGGGTGTATTAAATCCTTGGGCACGCAAAAATTTAGGCCGCAGACCTTCGACATTCCAACAGGACTCAGCACCATCGCACTCAGCACGCGCCACCCATGAATGGTAACAAAATGGGCATTCTCGCTTTATTTCCAGCGCACAACGGCCCCCAAAATCTCCGGATAACAATCCGTTGGACTATTTTGTCTGGAGTATTTTAGAAAGAAAGGTTGGCACTAAACAATATCAAAGTGTCGATCACCTCAAGCAAGCGCTTCGCCGGGAATGGGCCAAAATGCCGCAGAGCAACATTCGGGCAGCGTTTGACGGTTTCATTGGTCGTTTGAAAATCATAATTCGTGCCATAGATGGCCTATTCGAACAAATCTAAACTTATTCTAAAATTTGATGCTGTTTCCGGCATTTTTTGCTTTCATTCAATAATATTAAAAAATGTAAAAATTATGGCGTTTGACTTTGTTGCAGTTTTTTATCTCACCCTGTACAAATCTATACTTTTTTCTAAAATTTGATGCTATTTCCGGCATTTTTTGCTTTCATTCAATAATATTAAAAAAAAATGTAAAAATTATGGCGTTTGACTTTGTTGCTGTTTTTTTTATCTCATCCTGTACTTTGTATTAACATATGGACCAATGGTGAACTTGTCCTCAACTCAAGCTGTCCCCGCTTTACCCAAATAATTTCATTGGATTTAAATAGTATTCACTTTCTTCGTCGGGAATGGACATAAAATCTGCAAAAGAAATCTTGTAACCCACCAAACTCCGGTTTAATAATTTGATACTACTCTTTGCGCTTTGTCCATTTGCGATGATTTTATTTCTTCTTGGGTGATTTTTCAATATTTTTGCGCCATTCAGAGATTTTGTGAAAAAATCCCATTAAACCCTGTTATTTTTTTTAATAAAACACATTATTTGTTTATTTTTTTAATACTTTTCAACTCTTCCGTAACACTGGTCGTTGTGGTGCTGGATGTAAGCCGTGCGCCAAACGCCATTGTGTTGACGAGAAGATATACAAAATGTTTATTTGCAAATTTGTTATGAGAATTTTTTTTTGTGGATTTTTTGTTGTTGTAGTCTAAAATATAAATAATAATAATAATAATAATTGATTAAAAAATCTTGCATACAATTTGTTTCAAATTTGTTATCCTAAAATATGTGTAATCATATTATAATATATAATTTGTTGTTGCTTTTCATGTTGTTGTTTTAATTGTTTTGTTTCAAATCTAATGTCACAGTTTAAAAATTGGAAAAAACCTAATTTGTTATAATATAATAAAAAATTCTTGATGATATTTGTAGCAATATTAATGGTGTTGATGATGACAACGTAATGATATTAATTAGGAAATATTTAATTTTTTTTTTTGTAGAAAAAAACAGAGAACAGTTGCATACATAAAAGTTCCTTAGAAAAATAAGTAATACAAAACGTACATTGTGTAAGTAAAGAGATTGTTAACAAAATTCATATTTTTTTTAATTCAAAATATAAAATAAAGGAAGTTGAGGAAAAAAATTATTGTTTCTTAACACATACATACAATTCTTTATAAGGGCGAAATTTTAAAAATTTGTTTAATTAACTTTTTACTGCTTGATAAATGAATGTGCCACTCCGTGTGTGTGTGTGAAATATTTTAAAATGTTTGTTATTGTTAACCTAAATATTGAATGGTCTATGGGTTGTTTTTTTTTAATTTTTTTTTTTAATTAACTTTGGTACACCCCTCCTGTACATGGAACGAGTTATAAATGGTAGCCCTTTTGGCCGATTGGTAATTGAGATCAATTGGATGTATGTGTGACAATAGTTGTCCAGCTGGTACAATGAAGTCCATTGTCAATTTCCATACAGGCGGGCGGGGTTTGTTGTATGCATGTGTTTAATTTTGTTTGATTGTTTTTTTGTTAATAATTATATTTTATGTTTACTTTGTTGTTTTTCTTTGATAACACATAGATAAATATGATTTTTTGCTGCTGATATTACTTTTGTGGGAGGGGAGGAGATTCAGTGAAATGGGGGTTTGTTATTGAATCAGTGTATGTGTGTTAAATTTTAAATGATTTTTTTCTTCTTCCTTGTTTTTTTTCTTCTTTTTTTGTAGTTTCTTACCATCTAAGAGATATTTTTGTATGTTATTTTTTAAGATTTTTTTTGTAGTTTTGTTTTTTTTTTTTCATCAAATTTTCTTATTTCTAAACGATTTTTGTTTTGTGTGTGTGAAATGTTATTGGTTAGGATTTTTTGTTGTTTTTTAAAAATTTTCAATTTTTTTCTTATTCTTTGTATTGTTTATTTGTTACTTTAAATTTGAAATTTGATATCAAGACGTTTTCACATATCGCAGTTAATTGGTTTTCAAGTTCACAATTTTGTGTTTTGTTTTTTTTTTTTTCATCATTTTTAATTTATTAAATTAATTACTTTTAAGGACCTAACATTAAGCCAGTAATGCAGCCTTGAGTTATTCTGATTTTGTATGTTTGTTTTTAAGCCTAAATCACTAAACTTAGGTGAAAATTTTGAATTTCGAATTTTGTATTCATTTCTTTTCACTTTGTATTTTTAAACGGGCGGACAAACAAAGGGGACTGTATGAATTGTCTCCTTACATGGTATTGAACCCCTTTCTTGGCCATGGTATGACCATGGCCACAATAACAATATTTTCACATGAAGTTCGAGATATTGAGAACTAAAATGACAACAAATTCAAATATTCGAGTTATTTCAATGAGAAATTCGAAAAGTATTTTTAACTCGTTTGTCATGTGAAAATACTGTAGTTTGTAGTTATATATTTTTTAAATTATTTATTAACGATAATATTCTTAACCTAAGCAACTTAATCAGTATCACATTTTAATGAGTTGGAGATCTTGGCAAATACTTCATTTCGTTTCCTTTGCTTTTTATCTTGGAAAGTAAGGGCAAGTGTTAAGGGATTCAAAGAGGATATAAATGCAGGCATTTTTTGTAAAAATGTTTCACGTTTTCGTATTTATATCCAAAAATCAATTAAATCAAAATTTCGAAAAAAAAAATTAAAGCAAAACAATAAAAAATATTTTTAAAGACAAATAAAATTAAAAGCTAAACAAAAAATATTTAACAATAATTATAAAAAAAAAAATATAAATAATTTATTAAAACCTAATTTGAACAAATGTTTGTTTGTGTGTCTGTTCGAAGTTACTTCCCTTGGTTTTCAGTGGTAATCAATGAACTTTGAAAACCTCTTAACCTTCCGTCGTTAGAAACTGGAAACTCTAAAAAACTATAAAAACAATTACGAAACCAAAAAGAAAGAGGTTTGTTTTTGGACTTTTTGTTTTGCATTAAAGTCAAGTCAAGTGGGTTGTTTGGTATTGATTTGTTTTTTTTTTAGTTTTTTTTTTTTTTCATAAAAAATTATAGAAATCTAAAAAGGTGGGTGGTTCTTCTTTTTGTTTTTTTTTTTGTCATATAAATATATTATATATATATGTACGTGTGTTTCTAAGAGTAGTATATGTTTGTATGTAGTTTTGGTCTTGAGTGTAATTTTGTGTATGTGGTTGTTTAATGGGATTATCGGTGAAGGGTGTTTGAGTTTTTCATTTTTTTTTGTTAAGTTAAAAAAAAATATGTAATTATTACTTGATTACTACCAAATATCTTCTTCTACACATACATACATATATATGGTTTATAATCCAGTGTCAGATTTGATTATCACTGTGTGTGTGTGTGTCTAACACAAACTCTTGGAGTATGGCTTATGTTTGGTTATACTAAAGTCGGGACTTATTGTTATGGTGCGCGATAAATTCTTCATAAATTGTGGCAGCAACGATGTCCAGCCCCTATGATCCTGACGCAGTGTCACATAGATCTCGTAGGCCTGAGCATCAACGCCATAGCGTTGCTGATTGAGATCAAGAGTGGCAATGCGCCTTGAGTTATTGGGTTCATCTTCGAATTCAATGTAGATGGTGCATTCGCGTAGACCATGAGTTTCTTCACGGGCTAAACGTAAAATATCCAGCGCTATGCGTGGTGTGAGATCACAGGGTAGCGACACTTCAGTGCAGGCCAAATGACGTGACTTGGCAGCACGCAACTCTTCCAAAAGACGCAGCGACAGCTCCTGGACAGCGGCCGTTTGCAAAGCTGTTGATGTTGTTGTGTTGTTAGTGGTGTTGGTGGTAGTATTATCACAGTTCAATTTGTTTGAGGAGTTGGAGGTGTTGTTTGTTTTATGCTGCTGCTGCTGTTTGTTATTGCTAATGTTATAGTTGATGCTATTGCTATTATTATTGTTGTTGTTGCTGCTGTTGTTGCTATTAATATTGCCATGCTGATGTGAATGGTTGATGTGGTGATGTGGCTTGAAGGGTGTTGTAAATTTATAGGAGGGTTGAGATTTCAACGAACCTCCTTGTGTGGGTGTGGACAGGGTGAGTTGACTCTTCCAATCTGTAATAATAAGAACAAAATAGAAAAATTAATTAACATGGGCGTTTAAAAAATAAAATAAATTGAGGGTAAGCTAAGGAAATTCATATTTGGTTAAGCTAAGTTTTAATTATCGAAATGAAAATCATGGGAAATATGGAAGAGTTACAAAGGTTTTTTAAATGCCTATATAGAAATAACTGATTTTAATTGGACAAGAAGATAAGAAATATTCCCCTTCATTATCCTACCTAATTCGTAAAATTAGCATCATTTGCCAAACACGTAAATTTAAGAGGTAATGATTATTCTACATTTCCAACATAATCCGACACATAGGACAAGAACGTCTTGCCCACCATCGCAGGCAGGCAAAACTAAAAAAATGTTTCCAACAATTGTGCCTCTTGGACCGGCAATTGAATGTAATTGACTCAGAGAGAAACGAGAGAACAGAAGCCAAATAATATATCCAAAAGATATTTCACTCAATATCCATAAGATACAATAATATCTCATTCTCTCAATTCGGAAAGCTCTTTTACTCAAAAGTAACGAATTGAAAAAAGAAACTGAATAAAGTAAATGACCAACATTTGTGTGAGCGAATGTAAATAATAGGGGCCGGTTTGGCTGGGTTCCAGGCAAGAAAAGCGAAAGATACCTACAAAACCAACTAACAGCTCTCTCCCTCCGTAATAGGCTCGAAAGAGACAAACTCCACCATCCAAGCTATTGGGTATTAGCGGAAGACTACAAGATGTATGCATGTTGGTTCAGGGAAAGAACGACATGAGAGGGAGGCAGGTAGGGAAACAAAATGACAACAGAAAAGTAAAGTGGAAAAACTTGTTTCCAGCTGATAGCACAGCTGGAAATCAGTTGTTTCTTGCATCAGCTCATATGTTTATTTGTTTGGCAGTCTGTCTGTTCGGCTGGTTGGCTGGCGAACAGGCTGACTGTCTATGTTTGTTTGTTTTTACGCTGTAGCCTACAAAATTATGGCCTAAACACTTAAACCTATCCCATCATTAAGGCTGGGCAGAGACGAACGGAAAGCGAAAGAACGAAAAACGAATCCAGCAGATACATTTATTTGTGTATCTATCAAGGCACATGAACACCCGCAAAAAGGGGTATAATCAACTTCCCTCATTTGATGGACACAAGGGAGGGGTGGAAATTATACGTATGTATGTAGCAAGAAATATAGGCTTTGTGACAAACTTACCTGTAGCTAGAGCAAAATGAGCAGGATATTGATTTTGTACGGATAACACCTCCATTTTCATTTGTAGGCAATTTATTATTTTTACAGATTATAGAAACGAAGCAATTTTTCTTTGAAGTATTTAACAAAATTAACTTGTTGTTGGGTTTTCTTTTTAAAAAAATATCACAATTTTCATAAAGGTGGGCGGCAGAACTCCTTGTGGGATCTTTCTTCTGCCTTCCTGCCTTACTTTCTCTCTTAGTCCTTTTTCCGATACAAAAATACGGCACGATTTTTAAGAAATTTCAAAACTTAAAATTTCATTCCGGACTTTCTTCTCACATTCAGCTGTGAATTAAAGTTTTTCTCCCCTTGAGTCAATAGGTGGGTGGTATGTTTAATTCTTTGATTTTTTGGTTTAATTTCTTTAACACTGCTTTAGTAGCTTTGAGAAAAACTTTGTTGCACAAACAAGTTCTTAATTGCTTTCTTTAACGAGATGAAAAACAAAATTATATTTTTTTTCAGTGAGAAGATTATAATTTTTGTAGCAAACGTTGTTCTTTCTTCTTTTCTTTTAAACAAATAATTTAACAAAACAAAAAGTCTGCTGTTGTAACAATTTCTGATGTGTGTAAGTGTATGTGTAATTTTTGAAAATTATTTAGCTGCTGATAATTGTTGTGCCTTTACGGTTTCTGTTTTTATTTTTCTTTTGGATGAAAAGTCTGATGAGGGTTTTTTGGTTTGAAAGGCCGTCTTATTGTTGTTTTGGCTGAATATTTTATTGTGTGTTCAACAGCAGTGCTACGAAGCTACTATTCCGGCCGGTTAGTAGCGGCAGCCTTTTATAGCTGTTGCCAATCCTTTGCGCTCATTGCTGCTAGTACACAATTGACTCACTCAGTCATGTACTTGAGTTGCACGTACTACATACTGAGTTCTACACACAAACACTCTTTCACTCAAAAAGAAAAAAAAAAAATACCACCAGGCAAAGAAGAAATCACATAACGCTTGCCACTATTTACTAGTTGGAGGGTGGGGGACATACACAGACCCGCACATCAATTATATGGATATGAGTATAACCACTCACTGCAAAACAGCTGAGCAGACCAATACTCACATCTGAACGTATTGTTGTTGCGGTTGTTTGAAGCTGCTCTTTGAGCTGAAATTTTCAATTCCCTTTTACAAGGGAAACACAACGAAGAGACAAATTTCATGTATCGAATGTTTGAGTTTATTTTGCTTGATATTGTCGTTGTTGCTTTTGGGCTTGTTAGTATGTTTCCTGCCGGTAAATACACAACTACCAACCATTCCAGCTAAAAGATTCGCAACAACAGCAATCTACCATTTCCGAAATTCGGCTACATTGTTTCTTTTAGTTTTTTTGCACATCCAGATACAAATGTTCGAATACAATACGAGATGCCTTTGAAAAGTGTCCTTTGTGAAAAATTGAGGATTTAGCCACACATTGGCAATGGACGTAAAGAGGATTTTCGGTTTTTCCAAATTATCGTTTTTTCTTTTTTTTTTTTTGATAAACAAAGATTTAAGAAAGATGATTTAACAATCGATTTCCTCGAATGTAGGTACTGTTTCGGGAATAGTAGTGAGAAATGTAGTAATTTCTGCACTAGAAATAATTTTTTCCTACAATTTTTAGTCATAATGAAATTTTTATTTCAAAATTTTTCATTTGCAGAAAAAATAAATTGCTCATTTCTAATATTGTTCATCTCTAAACATATTATTCTTCGGTTACTTATTATATTTAGACATCAGAGGAAAAATATAAAAATTACTTAAATTTTCTGCATAAAATTCATCCTGGCTAAATTGGCGGTGATAATTTTAAATAAATTAAATAAAAATAAAAATATTAACTAATTATCTGACCTTCTGACTAAGAAGTAATATATTCGTATGAAGTATTTTATGTTAATTCTAAAATTCAAAACATTTGGCTCAACAATTATCTTAATTTTGTCCAAAAATTTGGAATATAAATACAAATGTTTGTAGGTCTTAAACTGGCTCCACTTTTGGCTTTTGACGTTATGAATATCAAAATAAATTTGGTTGTAATTTGGAATAAGTTCTACTCAGATAAGGTCTCCCAAATTTTTACAGGATCCCGAAAATGTTGTACATATAAAATGCTTTGTTTAATATGTCACAACGTACTCCTTACAAGTTTATATGTGGTTATTTAATCTAAACCCATGTAAATAATTTGATATCATTGATATATTTGTTCTCACAGCTTAAACTTAGAATCCACTTGAGATTTTTTCTCTCAAATTTGACATATGTATTTTTTGAGAGTTTTCTTGGGAATAAAATAAAAACAAAAACAAGGTTTGACGAAGTACAATTAATAATTAAATGACAAAATTTATATTTGATTTGTAATATCGTCAAAAAAAAAAAAAAAGAAAAAAATATTTAAAAATCATATTTGTGCACTCCTGTAAATTTAGTAGCAAAAATAAATATTTCATTATTGTTGATAAAAAATAAACTATTTTTAATATATCTTTACTGCTTAAATACATACTGAGTGTCACATATTTTTTTTCAGTTTGTTTCTTAAGACTTTACAATTTATGGAAAAAAGTTGTCTGGTTTTTATACCCTCCACCATACATAGTATGGAGGGTATATTAAGTTCCTCATTCCGTTTATAAATTATAGAAATAATAATTTTAGACCTAACAAAGTATATTTATATTCTTGATCAGCGTAAAATTCTAAGACGATTTGGTCTGTCCGTCCGTCCGTCTGTTGTAATCACGCTAGAGTCAAAACGAATAAGGATTGGAAGCAGTCTTTTGTCTACAGGCAGGTCAAGGTCGAAGATAGGCTACATCGGTCCTTCTGAGTACTTTACCCCATGGAAGGTAATTGTTTATATAGGTCCACAATATCGTATAGCTCTCATACAATTGTCTATGTAGGTCCACTTCTTTATATAGCCCACATAACGGCACCTCCTTTCTTTGGTATTTTGATGATATAAGAGACATTTTTTACCGAAATTATTTCAAATTGGGTATTTAAGCCTAAGCCTAAGACAAAAAAATGTATAGCCCCCATATTACGGGTTTCCTTTGAGCGGTATTTTTCGACAGATTTTTTTTTTTTTTTTTGGAAATTTATGTCACATATTATATTACACAATCTGAAAAATAACATTGACTGGTTTTTATATAATTTTAATTCTGGATATTGTAAGTAGCAAAAAAAATCAAATTTTAGATTGCATTGTAGACACTAATTTTTACATTTTTGTTTTTAATTTTATTGAATGAAGCAAAAAATGTGGGAAATAGCATCAAATTTAAAAATAAGTTTAGATTTGTTCGAATTGGTCACCCTTGGAACGAATTATGGCCTTCAAACGGCCAATGAAACCGTCACACGCAGTCCGAATGTTGCTCTGCGGTATTTTGGCCCATTTCCGGCGAAGCGCTTGCTTGAGGTGATTGACACATTGGTACTTTTTAGTGCCAACCTTGCTTTCTTAAATTCTCCAGACACAATAGTCCAACGGATTGGCATCCGGAGATTTTGGTGGCCATTGTGCACTGGACATGAAGCGAGGAATCTGAATTTGTAACAATTCTTGGGTGGCGCGTGCTGAGTGCGATGGTGCTGAGTCCTGTTGGAAGGTCTAAGGTCTGCACCCTCCAGAAAATTCTCGATATAATATTCGGCATTTATCGATTAATACGAGCGATTAATACGAGCGGAGAGCGACCATCGGCTACTATGGCGGCCCAAACCATCACCATGGCCGGCGCTTGAGTTCTGGTGGCCAACTGAAGGTGCACATTTTCAGCTGACCTCTTTGGCAAGTAAAAATGATTATTTTGTTTATAGCAGTTACAGTTCACCAATTTTGGCCAAGCGAAGCAACTTTTTAGCTCTCTTGAGTCTATTTTCTTTCTGTTGCTGTGTAAGTTCTTGCACTTTTTGGAATTTCAATGGCTTTACCTCACGAGCCATTTTTCCGCCACTGCGGCGCGGGTTTCGATCAAGTCTCTGCCTTACTTTCCGAACCATTTCTTCTGATGTTTCTGTTTTCTTCCATTTACTTCCTTGACGTCGGGCTACGCTACCAGTATCACGTTAACCAGCGATGGTACGAGACACAAAAGATTTATTTACATTTAAATGCTGGAGTGCTCTAACGATAGCCCCTTGTGGTTTTCCAGCCAAATATAAAGAAATCACACTATCACGCTTGAATTCCATCACCAATAACTTTTTTTCTGGAAAGTTCTCACCAATTATTATTGAAAATGAAATATCCTACACATTTGATTTGTAGAATTTATACAGCGATCTCATTATATTTAGTTAAAATATCTACATACATCCATTTTTTTCAATCGATATGGCATTTTCATTTCAAGCTGATACCAACACACCATTTCTGGCAATTGTTAGTGTTGTGCTATAGATCCAATATTATGTTGTGCTATAGTATCGTCGGATTTGACATAGGCACGTTTTTAATCTGAATTGTCAGAATTGATATTTCGGACAGTCTTGCGAACTAGAACCATTCTTATGTAGACTCCAACTTTTTGCGAATTACGCCTTGGAAGACTATGGCGAATGCTATTTTCCCATTATGCTTTAGGAAAACACCTCATTTTATATGGAGTGGCGTACCAGCATACGGGCTGCGGACTTGCAACCGAAACTGGAGTCGATTCTGGAAGTTTCGTAGAAACAAATTTCGAGAAGACCAATTTAATTTTGCTTCTATAAATAAACTTGGAGGAGTTTATATAGGGGAACTAAGTTAACTTTATATAAATTATTCAAATGATAATTTCTCACACCCAAAAAAAATTAGATAATCAAAGCATTTTGTAAGTCAAATCAAAGGCTACCATAGGCCTGTCTTGCTTCCATGGCTTTTTAAATACAATTCGGTCAGAACATAGTCCCTCGTATACTCAGAACTTGATGTGGTTTTATTTGATTTACTTACACAGAATCGTATATATGTACATGCATATGTATAGATCTTTGTTTAAATACCGGTATAGTTATGTACATACCCATGCAGACATACGTACATTTATATACAAATGTGTATATTTATGATGCAAGTAAATAAGTAAATATACCCATATGCATGTACCAATGTGTGTATCTATGTTTTTGGAAGTAAGAAGAGAGTAACTGATTTGTGTATAGCATTTAGGAAATTTACTTCATTGCCTGGGACGACGATTAGGTTATAGGCTTTGTTGGCAAACGCTGAGCCAGGGAATGGTCTGTGTCAGAAGTAAGTCCACACAAAAGTATCCAGCTACATATAGACATGTCTACATACATACATATTTATGTGTGTCTATATGTATAGAGTTTTGCCATGTTGCTTCCCCAAGAATCATTTGAATCCGCTGTTGCTACTGCACAACACCGACGTCTCCAGAGAAGTGGCAGTGTTAATATTCTCGAGTTTTCCCCTTGCCCTTCCAGAAACCCCTCTCTCTCTCTCTGAATGTGGAGTGAATTGCTTTGAGTGCGCTTCTCTTTTAGTCTTTCTTTTCTGTTCGTCATGTAAATGTGTCAGTGTGAATTGAGTGTATTTTAAGTCTACCTTATGTTCTGTTCTCTTGCGCACACCCCCACAGCCCCCCTAGTAAGTAATATCCATACATCAGCACATAACACAATCATCTGTTTCCTATGTAAACCTGTGTGTATCCGGCAAGTGTGCGTTGGTATCTGTGCATACATATCAGCTGTTTTCTTTTGATTTCTCCCTGTTTTGGTAACCCGAGAAATAGGA